CCCCCCCACGTTCCTTATATCTGGTCAAGTGCTGGAAATGGGTCATTTTCATAACCACTACAAACAGTTATTTTTCTCTCCTGCTGACAACAGCTCACCTTAACTGATCACTCTCTTTATAATGTGTATGGTAACACCCATTGTTTCATGGTGTGTGTGTGTGTCTTCCTTCTGTATTTTCCACTACATGCATCCGATGAAGTGGGCTGTAGCCCACGAAAGCTTATGCTACAATAAATTTGTTAGTCTCTAAGGTGCCACAAGTACTCCTATTCTTTTTGCGGATACACGCTAACACGGCTACTACTCTGAAATCTGTCAGGTTGTGGCTATCAAAATCCAAACCCGATCTAGCTTATCGTCCAAGATGAACTGCAAGCCCTACTAATGGAGCAAGAAAGTATGGAGTAGTCAGTATGCAAGGTACTCAGAAAAGTTCTACCTGACAGTATATTTATAAAACACTAGAAGTGTACTAAATATTTGTTCCTTGCCATGGCATACCTCCTGACCTTAGTCTTAGCTCTTCTGTAAATCTGAATACAAACCCTTGTAACCAAAGATATTCAGACACCAACAGTTCTCCAGATATCGCCTCACCAACATGTACCCCAACTGTTTTGCTCCCTGAGATCATCAATTTTTAATGAATTAAAGCCATCCAAAGCATCCCAGAAAGAATCAACATGGCTGAGAAAGAACAGGTCTCAGGTGTGTGTGCACACATGCAAACAGAAATCCTGAGGAGGATACACCAGATTATAGTTAGGGTTTCCAACAGATTTAATGCACTGTTACTGAATGACTCCGTTTCTGCACCAACTGGACAGTCGCCATTTCAGATTGATATTCCCCAGCGCACATTGGCTTTGGTTGCACTTTAAATAACCACAATTAAGTGCTTACCAAGCACATCGAAAATAATGAGGATACTTCCAGAAGGCATCACACTAAAAACCACAAACTGCTGCCATTTGAAATTCGAAAATTAAACACATTTGCTTGCAGCAAGAAACTTGGGAGTATTTAATTAAAAAAAAAACCCACATTGTTCATGGCAACAGTTAACGCAAATGTTTTTAAGAGATGACTGTAGCTCTAAAAACCTACAGCTTACAGGATATCTTGATCTCAAACTCGATTGTCCCATTCCAGGCCAAAGTCAAAGCTGGTGCAGAGAAAGGGAGAAATAAAGAGGCAAACACCTTGCCCTTCAAAACTGGGCTGAGATCACCAAACTCACTTCATATTCATAACCATATGCATTAGGCCAGATCTACCCTACAAACTTTTCCCAGTATAGCTATGTCTGTCAGGAGTACAATGAGGTACAATCTGTAACTGACAAAACTGTGCCAGTAAAAGCCCCTATTGTGGACACCGCTTATACCAGCAAAACTCGCACTTATTTTGCTCAGAGTAAGGTGGTGGTGGTGGGCATTTGGAATAAGCAATGCTGACATAAGCTGAAGTCATACTAGGAGCGCTTTGCTGATCTTGTATAGCTGTACCAGCAATATGCTCCTAGTGTAGACCGGCCTTAGTTTCCTATGTTTTGTTACTTCTGCATTTTACTTCCTACCATATGCTGCACATGCCAGGCAAAGAGACAACACCAAAAAGGAACAAAGCAGAGGGACCAGTTACAGCTGTCCATTATTTTAAATGTGCATTTACAGAACCACACCTCTGTGCGGAGTAGATTCTGATAGCAAAATGCTCCGTGAAGCAGGGTTGGTACTAAAGAGTGCCTGGAGAGGAGCATGTGAATTGCGAAATGTGACGTTGGCAGCAGAGGGCTTGCTTGAGCAGAGAGCCCTGTTTCGATGCCCGCAAGTGGCATATACATGCCAAAATCACCATGTCAATGTACATAGGTGAGGAAGCCTTATGGGACCAAAGAGCCCTCTCCTATATTCAAAGTGGGGAAAGGGGAGCACGTATAGGTGCAAAAAGCCCTGCTTCTATACTCATGGGGAGAGAGCCATGTAGAGGTCTCTCGACACTCAGATACAGGATGTGAAGGATGTTCTTCTGTGAGGGTGTGGGTGCCAGGACTCCTGTGCCGAGGGTCACAGGACCAGCACCAGATGGATGCCTGTGCCCCTGTACCAGGGCTCATGGAGGTAATGCTCTAAGGGGCCAGGGCTCCCACCTCAGGGTTCAAAGGGGAGAGAGTATGCCAGGATCAACCTGTGCCCAGTGAGGGGGATCCCTGGGGGCACACAGGAGATGGCTGGGGTGGAGGAGCAGGGACCAGCCTGCACCCAGTGACGGGGGTACTGGGAGGGGGTAGAGGAGGCGGCTATGGGGGGCAGGGAGCAGCCTGCACCCAGTGAGGGGGATGCCTGGGGGGGGGGGAAGGCAGAGGAGACGGCTCTGGGGGGCAGGGAGCAGCCTGCACCCAGTGAGGGGGATGTCGGGGGGAGGCAGAGGAGGCGGCTCTGGGGGGCGGGGAGCAGCCTGCACCCAGTGAGGGGCATGTCGGGGGGGAGGAGGCAGAGGAGACAGCTCTGGGGGGCGGGGAGCAGCCTGCACCCGGTGAGGGGGATGTCGGGGGGAGGCAGAGGTGGCTCTGGGGGGGGGCAGGGATCAGTTCCGGGTGTCCCCCGCCGATGCCCACAGAGGCCCCCGAGGGGAGGAGAGGGGCCCGGCCCCGGGTTGCAGCGCCTGAGCCAAAGGCCCCTGGTCCCAGCCGCGGGGCGCCCCGAGCCCGCTTCCCCTCCCCCAGCCCGCTACCTTCTCCAGCAGCCCGTTCTTGCCGCCCTTCGCCGCCATCTTCTCTCCTCCCTCCACCCCGCGGCTCGAGGCGACCTGTGCGCCGGCGATTGGCTGCGCAGAGCAGGCGCGCAGGGGCTGACGGGATTTCTAGCACGTCTGCCTCCAAAGAAAACTACAGCTTCCGCCGCTTGGGGCACGTGACCGGAAGCGCGCGCCCCGGCGCACCCCGGGATACGTAGTTTTTTGCGTGACCTGATCTGTTAGAGCCCTCGGGAGCGTCCCTGTTGCTATGGTGACTGAAGGGGGAGAAGACAACATGGCGGCTGCTTTGTGGCCCCCGGCGCGCAGAGACCCCGCCAGGGGCTGACGCTCCCCAGGACGATAGCGAGGGAAGCACAGGTACTAGCAGCACCCACAGGGGAGAAATGGGGTGAGAGGGGCCACGCGCAGCGTCTTACCGGGAGTTAGGCTAAAGGCCTCTCTAGGAACTGGAGGACCAAGAACTCTATGATTTTAACTTGGCTCCAACGCTTCACCCTAGTGGGGGCTCCCAACTAAGTCAGGCCGCAAACCGCCCTGGTACTTCACGCCAACCAGGCGCCGACTCCCCCCCGCACTGCATCCCCCACTGGTACCTCACGCCAACCAGGCGCCGACTCTATTGTACCATGTCCCCCACTGGTACCTCACGCCAACCAGGCGCCGACTCTATCGTACCACGTCCCCCACTGGTACCTCACGCCAACCAGGCGCCGACTCCATCACACTGCATCCCCCACTGGTACCTCACGCCAACCAGGCGCCGACTCCATCGTACCACGTCCCCCACTGGTACTATCCAATCAGGCGCCAACTCCACCGCACTGCTCCCCCATGCCAACCAGGTGCCAACTCCCCCGCACTGCGTCCCCCACTGGTATCTCACACCAACCAGGCGCTAACTCCACCGCACCGGCTCCCCCAGTGGTACCTCACGTCAACAAGGCGCCAACTCCATCGTACTGCGTCTCCCCGGTTCCTCCCAACCAGGGGCCAACTCCATTGTACCACGTCCCCCACTGGTATCCCACGCTAACCACAGGCTGACAGCACCGCACGTCCTTCCATACTGGTACCCCACAACAACCACGCGCTGACTCCCCCATGCCACGTCCCCCATTGGAACCTCATGCTGACTTCACCAAGCCACGTCCTCCACTGGTACCCTATGCTGACTTCACCATGCTGCATCCCCAACTGGTACTATTGTGATACTATTGTACTGGTACCACACACCAACCACGCACCAACTCCATCGTACCACGTCCCCCACTGGTACCCTACGCCAACCACAGGCCGACAGCACCGCACCTTCTTCCATACTGGTACCCCACTTCAATCACGTGCTGACTCCCCCGTGCCATGTCCCCCATTGGTACCCCATGCCAATCACGTGCCGACTTCACTGAGCCACGTCCTCCACTGGTACCCTGCGCTGACTTCACCATGCCACATTCCCAACTGGTACCCCACGCCAACCACACACCGACTCCCTCGCGCAGTGTCCCCCACTAGTACCCCATGCCAACCACATGCCGACTCCCCCACCCGCGTCCCCTATGCCAACCAAACGCTGACTACACTGCACTGCATCCTCTACTGGTACCCCTGCCAAACCATGCACCGACTCACTCGCTCTGGGTCACCCACTGGTACCCCACGCCAACCACGCACCGCATCCACTGTGCTGGGTCACCCACAGGTACCCCACACCAACCATGTGCCGACTCCCTTGCGTCACATCCCCCACTTGTACCCCACGTCAACCATGTGCCAACTCCACTGCGCCTCCTCTCCCACTGGTATCCCATCCCAACCACTCACTGCATCCACCGTGCCGCGTCCTCCACTGGTACACGGTGCTGTGTCCCCACTGGTACTCCACGCCAACCACGTGCCAACTCCCCCGTGCTACATCCCCCACTCACACCCCACGCCAAACATGCGCCGACTCCACCGCGCCGCTTCCCCCACTGGTACCCCACGCCAACCACAAGCTGACTCCACTACTCTGCGTTCCCCTCTGGTACCCCAAACCAACCACGTGCAGACTTCACCGCGCTGCGTCACCTACTCGTACCCCACGCCAACCATGCACCGACTCCCCCGCATCAGGTCCCCCACTGGTACCCCACGCCAACCACGCGCTGACTCCCTCGTGCCGCGTCCCCCACTCATATTCCACGCCAAATATGCGCCAACTTCACCGCGCCTCATCCTCCACTGGTACCCCTCACCAACAGCACGCCAATCTCCCCGCTCCACGTCCCCCACTGGTACCCCATGCCACCCATGTGCCAACTCCACTGCGCCTCCTCTCCCACTGGTATCCCATCCCAATCACGCGCCGTGTCCACCACACCACATCCCTCACTGGTACCCCACCCCGACTCCACCATACCGTGTCCACCACTGGTAACCCATGCCAACCATGTGCTGACCTCCTCGCTCTGCATATCCCATCGGTATCCCACACCAACCACGTGCCAACTCCACCGTGCCATGTCCCCCACTGGTACCCATGCCAACCACACGCTGATCCCGTTGCTCTGCGTTCTCCGTTCAGTACCTCACACCAACCACACACCGACTCCATCATGCTGCATCCCTCCTTGGTAGCCCACACCAATCCCATCACGCCACATCTCCCCACTGGTGCCCCACACCAACTCCTTTGTGCCTTGTCCCCTATTGGCAGCCCCACACCAACCACGTGCTGACTGCTTCGCACCATGTCCCCTGTCAGCACCTCCACACCAACCAGGTGCCAACCTCACCACTTCCTTGTGTCCTCCATTGGTATCCAGTGCCAACTCCTCGTGCTGTGTTCCCCATCAGTAGTCTATGCCAATAACATGCCAATGCCTCTGTGTCACATCCTCCGATTGATACCCCATGCCAATGTCATGCTAACATCATTGCATTATGCTCCCACCATTGTTACCCATGCCAATGACACACCAACTCCATTATGCCATGTTCCCTGCATTCCTATCCCATCCTAACCACATGCTAATTCCATTGTGCCGTGTCCCCCCAACCAATATCCCATGCCAATGACATGCCGACTCCATCGCACTGTTCCCGTTGTTACCCCATGCCAATGACATGCCAACTCCATTGTACTGTGTCCCCTCAGTCAGCATCCTGTGCCCATGCTGTGCCAACTGCCATCATGTCACGTTCTCCGTCACCCCACCTCAGTATCTCATACTGATGGCACACCATTGGGCTGGCTCCCCACCAATCCCCAATGCCAACACCTCCTTTAATGCCTTTATGCTACATCAGCTCCATGCCCAGTGCTTGTGCCCCTTCAGTAGCTGGCCGACACTGTTACCATTCTGACCACCATGGCTCTGCATTACCCATCAGTATCCCATGCTGATGTTGTGCCAGCTCCCATCACACGGTCTCATCTCTTTGGTAACTCACAGCAAAGCTCTGCCGGCCACCACCTCACCGCTTTACCCTGTCATGCCCACGCCACACCGGCCATCACCACTCCACTCCTCCATCAAGTCACTTATTTAGGTGCTTAATATTTGACACCCAGGTTTTGAAATGTTGGCTTACGTGACTTGCTCAAGGCCTCAGAACATGAAGATAACAAAGGAAAGGGGTAAGAAAAGGGAGACTGAGGGTTAAAGCAGAAAAATAATGGGAGTCATGTTTTATACTGAATCAAACAAACACATTCTGATATTTTAAAGATGGATTTAGCTGTCTATATTTGGGAACTCTAGTTTGAAAATTTTGGCTGTAATCTCCCCATCTCAGAGTTTACCCTTGTATATAAGAGTAGGGAATGCCTACCATGTCCCACTCACAGGATTGTTTTGAGGATTTACTAGCTAACCTTTGTACAGTGCTTGGAGTAATATTATTAGCTGTAATAGTAACCAGTGAAAGTGTTAACTGGTTCATTTGTGCCTTGATCTTCTTAGTAACTCTGCAGACAAGATGGCTACAACAAAGCTGTATAAACTGGACAATGGAAACAGTTATGCAACCAACTGCTTCCCTGCCAGAAACATTTTGCGGACAAGTGAAGAAGGTAACATTTTTTTGACTGATAATAACTTTGTCACCCCGCAGTATAATACCATGTCAGATTCCATAGAACTCCAATCATTAAAGGCTTGGGGCCAGATCCTAAGCTGGTATAAAGCAGTGTAGCTCCATTATTTTCAGTGAAGCTACACTGACTTACACCACCTCAGAATCTGGCCTTTGGACTTTTGATGTCTCTCCATCACCCATATGTTAAAATATATGTTTTAAGGGATTAATCTCATTCAGACTAGAAACTCTAGACACTTACTTCAGTTTGTGTGCAAGAGTTCTTACATCTGCATGCACTTAATATGGGAAAAGTCACTGGGCCAAATTCAGCTCTGGTGTAAATGGCTTTTATGGGAACTGCACCCCTTTACGCCAAGGCTGAGTTTGGTTAAATGTGATACTTTTAATTAGTTTATCATCACAGACAGTAAGTCAAGTATAACTGTCACTATAATGATCTGTGGAGGGGAAGACCAAAGAAAATAACTCATTTTTCATGACACGTATTTGCTATCATGTGCATGTCATAAATGTACACAATGTTGTACATTTAGGCCAAATGACTAAGAGTCCCTGCCCTTACAAGCTTAGTCTAGAGTTATGTGTGAACACAACAAATTAAGACTATGTCTGCACTAGGGAACTGACCATTGGTAATTAAACAGATGGGACATCATAAGGGTAAGTACTAATGGTGCATTGTGTGCACACTATTCATGCACTTTTAAGTTTTGCCTTGCACCCACACTTGCACAAGAATATGCCATGTCAGTTGCATTGTCGTCTGGTTTTTCTTCACAGTCCCCAGCACAGCTCCCTGAAGCAGTGGCTTCCGGGAGATTTCAAAAGGCCTTGTGGGAGCCCAGGGAATTGTAGAAGTCAAATTATTTCCTGGGCAAGTCCCACAAGGTTCTGAGACATGGAGCCATTTCCAAGTCCTTTTTGCCAAACGGAGGCCAAGAACAACACTCACCTTTTGCTTCTTGCTCAGCCAGAAGGGTTTCTGCTGGAGCTTTTGGAAAGTAATTGTGATGCAGCTACACTGGGAAAAGGACTATGAAATGGCACTGGTTCTTGGAAGCTTATGGGAGTTTCTCAGGAAAATATCTGGCCTCTTTCCCCTTAATTTTCCTCCTTGACACCCAGAAGGTCTTTTGAAATCTCCCATGAGCCACTGCTTCCGAGAAGTGTGCTGGCTATTGTTAGGTCTCCAGGTGACAATGCAGCTACAAGGGTGCAGAACAGCACTAGTATATATGTGCAGGGAAAAGCTGCATCTGAAGCCGAGTGGTTAGTTAAACATTGCACCATTGGTACAGGCACCAGTGCTGGCTTGCATTTTCCTTTACTAATTGTTCAATTCTGTAGCGCAGATGCAACCATTGAGTCAAAAGCTCTACTCCAGCTCTCTTTGGGGTGGTGCAAATCTGCACCTCCTGCTACTAACACATTCTAGCCCCTGGATTATAAAGTGTTTTGGCCATCTTTTTGTTTTGCATTCGTACAGCATCTAGACAACAGAGTCCTGGTCCAGGACTGGAGCTCCTAGATGCTATAATGAGACACACAATAACAATCAGAATTTGTAATATAAACAAGTACATTCTAAAACTACATTTAAATGTACCTGAAAATGTTCCAGAACGTCACCTGATATAAAGTGGACAGTTGTAAAATCTCTAGGGCTTCATTTTAATGAGAATTTCAATAGGAATCACAGCCTGATGACAAAGTAGGACAGGAACAGTACAGCTGCAGCCAGAGATGCAGGGAACAGCATCTGTCCCCTTTCATTGTTTTTAGCTATGTCCTATATATTTTGTGGGCTTGTTTTGGCTGAGTTGATATCCATGAAATACTTAGAAATTACAGAAAAAATCCAGGATTTACTTAAAAACAGTAGTAAAATTCTGCTTTTCTCTGTCTCTGGCTACAGCCTTGATATTTCTGTCCTTATCTGACAATAGAATTGCCCCCTGATTAATTATTTTATACACAAATATTTTATAGAGAGATCATTTTTAAAAAACATTGATTTAGCCAAATGCCGAAGTGCCTAGCACACTGTTGGTGCTGCACAAACACATTCTAAGGGTTGTTTGCCTACTTTGATGTCTATTTCAATCTTGTACTTCCTTATGCCAGGGGCTGGTCACTGGCTGGTGGCTCACAGAGCTGCCCAGAAGACCAAGTTTGAGGCAGTGATCTGTGCAAAATCCCTTCAAGATGAAGTAGGGGGGACTCTACAGTACCTGGCAGAGCTCCAACACCATGGATACCTGGATGAAATGATTCAAGAGAATATCCTAGATGGGCCATTTCTGGTGAGTGCAAACCTAACTGAATGAGGAGGCAAAATACTTTGTAAATTATACTTCGCATTTTCATAGCACTTTTAATCTCTCGCTCTCAAAGTGCTTTCCCAGCTAACTGAGAACACAACAATCTTGGGAGGGAAAGTCTAAGCATCTGTTTTGAAATATCTTGGCGGTCTTGTTACTAGTTTCCATTAGTATTGGAGTCAACTTTTGCTTTGATCCTGGGGTCTATACCATTTAGGCTGTGTAGGTCACATAGGAGATACCTTAAAAGCTGAGGTTCTCTTCCTTCTGTATGGACCCGGTGGCAATTTTTGGAAGAGTTAGGGACTTGCCCCTGTATCTATAGCCAAGTTATTCAGCGGTGGTCTGCTTGGCTGCCATCTTCCATGCAATAGGTAATTTCATTTCAGTGACGACACTGTACCTGCAGACACAGGTCAAATATTACTTAGATTGTAAACTTTTTGGCCTAGGGACTCTCTCTTTGTTCTGTCCAGCACAGTGGGATACTGGCACTATTCCAATGCAACTAATAAATAAAATTTTGAATTCTCTACTACTGGAAGGGCTGCAGAATCCATGTGAACAAAAATCAAGATAGACGCTAATTTATGCCTGGAAAATCGACCCAACGGCATTCCCTACGTCTCTATTCAGCAAGTGACCTGATCCTTTCTGGCCTTCTTCCCAGCTCCCCCCAGCCCATATCCTAGCTGTTCCACAGGAAGTTCCCTACTCTCCTTCCTTAGGCTAGGTCTACACTACCCGCCTGAATCGGCGGGTAGAAATCGATCTCTCGGGGATCGAATTATTGCATCTCGTCGGGACGCGACAATTGATCCCCGAATCGACTCGCTTACTCCACCAGCGGAGGTAGGAGTAAGCGCCGTCAGTGGGGCGCCACGGAGGTCGATTTTGCCGTCGTCCTCACAGCAGGGTAAGTCGGCTCCGATACGTCGAATTCAGCTACGCTATTCGCGTAGCTGAATTTGCGTATCTTAAATCGACCTCCCCCCCCATAGTGAAGACCTGCCCTTAGTCACAACATCCTCTTCTCTACTCCTCCTTCCCTCCAAAAGCACTCTGACTTCTTAATCCACACCCTACCTCCCAGTTAACTGAGGCTATTCTAAAGGTTACTTCTGGTGTTCAGATTCTTAACCAAAATAGCATGAACGATTGTCTCACACAAAGCTCTATGATCACACCACATTCCCACCTAACTTCATATGCACAGTATGGCGTTAAAGCCTGAGTTGTCTTCACCACCCAGAAAGCATGTTAAGAGCTTTAAGAAATTAGTATATTACACGTCTGCAGCCAATTGGCTACAAATACTCAGCCTATACAGTGATACATGATCCCCACATATTAGCAATCACTGCCAGCTGATCAGACATGTCTTCTTTTAGAGCCCCTTACAAGACCAGTTCAGACAGACAGGAGCCAGAGGGAAAATGCCCATGCTTCAGATGCAGAGAAATGCAGGGGCTATTGTAGAACCAAACAGACAGGGACAGGTCATGATACTCATTGCTCACTGGCAGAAAGCAATAACAGTCTAACAGGTTTTCAAAGACTTAACCTTTAATGATTTCACAGGATGTGGTACAAACTGTGCTTTGTAAACATGTAACCTCGAACTTTGAACAGCATCTCTCTGGGTTCAAACAAGACAAATGGTTACTGCAAAAACAGTGTGTTTTGTTCCTGCAAACGATGACCCTCACACCGCAAAACAGTCTTTTTGTTCCATTTTTAAATCCAATTGTCATTGAAAAATCACTCAGGGCTTGTCTGTACAGGTAGTTAATGTGTGGTAAGCTGGGATGTATCTATAGTGCACTAACTGCTTAGAAAGAGTCGATCAAAGCGCGCTATGGAACTTTTACTGCGCAGTAGCAGGGTCCACATGGCCAATTCGTGTGGGGCAGGCTACTGTGCTACTTGTATATACCCCAGCTTGCCACACACAAACTGTCAGTAGACCAGCTTTCACTAAGAATTTTATAAACTCATTAACACAGAACTAACAAGGAATTACGGTAACTGTTTGTTTAATATTTGCTAGAAAAGGTATGTTCTTGTGCATCATTGAATATTGTCCTTTCCTCATATCCTGATGCTCATCTGAACCCCTCTCCTCTTCATCCTCTTCATTTACTACTCTTAAATTACTGTCACCATTCCCACCTACCCCTGACATTCCTCATCTCTTGATATGTTCTAGCTATCTTCTCCTCCATTCCTTTTTTCCTCTGTTCCTCCTTCTGTTTCTTCTGGGAGCGCCGCTTCAGCTTAACTGAGTTGGCTATTGAAATTGTCCCCTGCACCCAGTAACGTTGCGAGAGGTTACACAAATTAGTGAGAACAGGAGGCAGTGAGGCAAACAACGCATGTCTTTAGGACCGCATTTTGGAAATGCTGCACCCAAAGTGAGATGTCAGCATAAAGGCTGCAGATATTGCCCTCCTTAGAGTGTAAATGAAGGAGTGTGGAAGTGCATGGTACAACATGTTAACAAATGCTCCAGCTAAAAGCCATCGGTCTGTAAAATTTTACAAAAAGTTGCATTATTTTGCCAGGGACCTTTGAGCAATGTCTTGCTTCAGCTCTGTTTTGTCCCCTTAATACATGGGAGGCTGAATCATAAGCCATAGCTCAAGACTTCCATATATGGTATAGGGATGAGATGTAATAAGATGTTCTCAAGAATATATGTTTATGTTAACCCAGGTGGGGGAAGCTCAGCAGGAAAAAGGCACTTTTGTTGCAAATTAAGTGTCTCCACACATGAAGTATCAGAGGGGTAGCCGTGTTAGTCTGAATCTGTAATAAGCAACAGAGGGTCCTGTGGCACCTTTGAGACGAACAGAAGTTAGAACTTCCACACATGACGTTAATTATGAACAATTAATCAGGAAGTATTCCATTTGTAGACAAGGCCTTAGATTCAATGTCATGGATGGTTGGCAGAAGGGGACCAAAAGGCTTCAGAGTGTTGGTTATTCAGAGCAGATGACCTGAACATTAGCATCCGTGGTCCTTCACAATGGGCAAAGAGGACGGGATTGTTTGTAAACAGGCAACAGCAAGAGCCATGAAACTAATAAAGATGAAACAAGTGGAGTTTGCTCTGGTACGTTTGACATTGTGGCACTGGGGATTGATGCCACAGTACTGCCTGATAAGTCGCTCTGCGGTGCAGGTCTCATCCCACCCTCCCACGTGGCAATATGTGCAGACTTTTCTATACTTCATCTTGATTTCCAGCCACCTTTTTGACTTTGGTTCGGCTTTGCACAGGTAGAAAGTTATCGCACAGTTGCAGCCAATATAAAAATTTGGTTTTGTCCTGGAATGTCCTCTGTATTTTTTCCTCAAACTGGCTAGGCGACAACTGACACATCCCAAGCCCTAGTTGAATTCAGTGAAGAACCCTTGCAGTATTCTGGGGGTAGCCTAAGGGAGCTGCTCTCTCAACGCATCTTTCAAAGGGCCCATGTGCCTTGAATTTCTTTGTGATTCTGGCCAGACGATCCACAAGTTTCCTGGTTCACTGTCCTATCTGGGAAACAGTGCAGTGGTCTTGACTCTGAATAGATTCCTGTGATCTGCTGTCTGAGGAATCCAGGCTGGAGTACACTGCAGAAATTCTGAGTGGGAGAAAATAATAAATCTATTAAAACAACATATATGCGGTGGGAATTAAACTAAAACCATGAGTTTTCTATAGAGAGATGCTGTATTTCCTCAAACGCATGGGAGATCTTGCTGACGCTGCCCCCCACATAAACCTGCTGGAGCCTCAGCTAAGTTATTAGCACTGCCTATGTTTATGTATGGAAGAGATATGATATTGCAGTGGTTCAGGGAGACAGGAAAACACGCTATGTGCATAGTCTGTGTGTGTATGTATCAAAGAGAGAGAGACAGGAGAGAAGCAAGAGCGGCTTGGATTCTGAAGGAGCCCTGCAGTGGACAGCGGATAAAGTGGTCTGAATTGAGCCATGGGAGTTGTAGATAGGACAGGGTATACCACGTTTAGGAGTTAGTATGTTGGGTGCTAGGTAACTCTGTATTTAAAATAAACTAAACCAAAATTCAA